AGATTCGCGAGCAGACAGACAAATAAAAATCAAGAGTTCGTAAGTTCGTCCATATCGAGATAATCCGAAAATGGTCCTGGTATATACATATGTAGGGCCACTTATTGGCAATCCATTGCAATTATGTCCACTGGGAAACGAAAGAAGCGGTAGACAAATATGCAGATACATGCACAGGCAGACAGAGACGCAGACGCATCCACACGCAAACAGATATACATACAGCTGGAGAAGCATACAGGCATAGAGTTATATATAGGGAAACAGAGTTATATATAGGGGAACGACAGGCAGACGAACGATGATACCTACATCAAGAATGTTTATATGCATTTGTAGGATCTCAGAAGTTTACTTCTTTTTAATGCAAACCTCTCCCCAAAATTAACATACTTCCAAGGTCTTCGGAATAGGTATCTGAGTTGACACTGCGTTCATAAAATAATAGGAATTAGAATTCTAAACATACGCACTATATACAGCTACCTATGTAAAGTTTTGTTGTTGCCTTTACTATTAATTTAGTAGAATTGTCGTTAATAGCGGGCGGAAATTTCACATCACCGAAGTATTAGCTTATAAGCAAATTAAAACCGTATAGTCGGGCAAGAGACGCCATTAAGTATTTGACAGCAATTCGCGTACCCGCAGCCTAAAGTAAAGAACTTAATAGAAAGAAATTTAAAATTTTAATCCTATAAAAATGACTTCTTGAACAAAAACATTAATGGGAAGGCGGTTAAAACTGTGCACCCACATAATCCAAATTTATTAAAACTAATTTTTTTTTATCTTTTTATTAAAGAATTTATTATTCTTTACAATTTCTATCCTTGCATTGTTAAGGCTTACCTTTCATCCAATCCATTTCTTTGAAGGGAGCCTCGAAAAATAAATTATATATGAAATCATTATTCTTAAGGATTTTCCATTAGGAAATGTTAAACTTTAAATCATAGTGAGCGTGAATCCCCTAGTAATTCCCTCTCTCTCCTATTATTCTGTATAAATAGCTTGTGAAGATGAATTTATTTAATACGATATTATTTATTTATTTATGTTATTATTATTACCTCACAATTGCTTATAACATTGACGACTTTTCAGATTGACAGAAACTATTGCATTCATTAAAAAACCAGAAAAAAAAGAAAAAAAAAAAAATAAGAAAATAAAAAGCAAAATATCTGTGCAATGCATTTAAAGAGAAGATGGTATGAAGAAGAAAAGCAATTCATAATAACATAAACGTATTGCATAAGCCACTCTTTGCGTCGATATCGTAAAATTTTTTTTTGCGATGATAAAGGAATGAATACGTAAAGTTGTCCCGCGGTGTTGCACAAAAGACATAACCTACTTAATGTGACTGAAATTTCATACTCCTAATAATTGCCCAATCGAGTAATGGAAAATGGAAAGCTTCAAGTTGTTCATTATCTGTATCTTCGATATCTTTGGCTAACAATTTATCAAAAATTCGAATTTCGCAGCTGAACTGCAAGCGGCCACTAAAGTAGGGCTTCCCTTGACTGATACGGAAAGTAATTTTCTATAGATTGTTCTTGTAGGCAACTTAAAGTTAAATTTTTCATTAGCAAATGTTTTCAAGGTATGGAGCTTCCGTGGCACCAACAAACATCTATTGCATTTTTTAGTCAAAGAAAGCATTGGACTTATTTACTTTGTCACATTCGATGAGTCTTGGCTCTCAGGAATATTCAGAAATCGTCGTTGCACATGAAAATACAAAGTAAGGAATAAAACGGAACTTTCCGTCAAAGTATTGTCATTTACTGTAATCCAAAAAAAAAAAAAAAAAAAACAAAAAAAATGTTTGGACAAAACGCTTCTAAGCGATCTGAATATGATAAAAAGCAAAGAGCAAAAACCGTGAGCATATAATGTATCCATCGTTTAAAAGGTTGATTCAACTATTTTCCAATATCAAGACGGAGTCCAATCCCATTACTATAACGATCTAGTAGCGATCTAGACTTCTATTATATTATATAACATATTACATTTTTATACATATATATATATATATATATAAACAGGGTTTTAATATCGTACTTTTTCATAAATATTGCACTAAATAAATTTAATCCGTATATTAATTGCAATTAAATTCGTTGCATTTTAATTAACTTCTTTCACATTTTCTTTTTTAATTTTTCCTTTTTATTATATCCGTTCATCTCTTATTTCTTATGGCTTTCCCCGTGATGCACTAAATATTAACTGATGTGAAAAAGAAAAAAAAAAACAAAAAACATTACATTTTTCCCTTTAAGCAAAATGCCATTCCTAATAAATGAGTTCTTGTTATCGGTGTTTCATTATTGTGTTTATCTGTGCTTCGCCAACACGATAAAGAGAATTTTTAACAATAACGAACGTAAATAGCTTTAGTTGTTTTCCTGATGATTCCTTAAAAAAAAGAAATGCTTGACTAAAGTGTTACAAATATTTTCTCTATTACGTTGCGAAATTTACTATGGGGATCATTTCAAATGATTTCTTGTTTTTTTTTTTTTTTTTTGCATTTTTCTTTTTATTTTCTTTTTTATCTTTTAATGCTACCTTGATTGTGGTAACGGTGCACATGCAACCTTTAAGAAAACATCTTAAAAGACATAACTACCTTTCTAATCGATTTACAATCATTTTCTCAATCGATTAAAGCATATACGTTCATCTGTCCATCTGTCCGTTCATTCAACTATCTGCTTTATGTTAAAATTTTCAAAATATTTCAATGAAATTTTTATCCAAGAATTAAACGTTAAACGTTTTTCAAAATGAATAGCGTGGGATCGCTTTTAGTTTCACTCTCCATGTAACGTCCTATTCTAAAAGAGTTTCTATATCGAGAGAAAAGAAAAGCAAAAATAATTTTTAAATTTTTCAAATTAATTAACTTAAAATAATAATTTGACATATATAAATATACGTCCACATACGTCTATTTTTCATGCAACCCTCCTATAGGTGATAAGAGAAAGTTACCTTTGTGTGAGATCGCAAGATGAACAAAGTTATGTTAGACGAAACATTGCAAGGTACTTAATGGTCGGCTTTTGCCCGTCTATCAAATTCAAACATGTTTCCTCCTAATGCAGTTCAGAGTTAATTGCATTTATTGGTTGGTCAATTAGCTCACAGATAAAATTGATAAAAATTGGTATAATGAACACAAAAGCAGAAAAAGTAATTGTTTTTAGTATTTGTGCACATCATATAGACACAGAAAAAGAATACAGTTTTCGAGTCATTTTATGGAAGAAGAGTATTCCGAAAAGTTTTCTCAAATATTTTTTATTACATCGGAAGTATGATTATATTTTTAAAAATTCATTTCGGTTTTCAGCTTTATTCCGAATTTTTTTTCGTTTCATTCTTCTTCTTAATTGGTTCATCAAAAATTACCCAAGAAACTTTTGTTTATTACCTTCACATATATCTCATTATATTAGTTAGCAGTTTGTAAGGATACTGGATATATAGTAAGTAATTAAGGCGATCTCCGATTGCCCCAACAACATCAGATTTTCGTCCTTAATCAAAGGATTAGTTTTAATTGTGATCATATTAAGGCGCGAAGATGTATTGTCTGTATATGAGAATCCATCTTTGTTTTTGTCCCATAGCTGCGTAACGCTCTGTCAACCAAAAAGAAGTGCGGAAAGACAAACAAAAAAAAAGACAGATATAGGGAAGTGATGGCCGCAATTTATTGGATGTGTGCCCAATCGATTGGGGCACTTACTATACCTCATCATCAAATATTGACTGCTTTTAGGGCAAAAGGATTTGAATCCGCGAACACTGATTTGCCGGTTGCGATTCTTATCCTTACTCGCTCGGCCTGTTGAAAGTAAACATCGTTGATTTCATTCAACTAAATGATTGACAATCTAAGGACCAAAGTGATTCCATAACAATAAAATACATTATTACTCTAGTACTGTTCTTAATTCGTCCTGAACAGAAGTATTTCTAAATCGTTGATCAAAACGTTGATCAAGAATTTTACGAAATGTTCACAAGTTTAAACAATTCGAAGGCATTGTTTTTTGCGTGTCACAATCGACGGTTCAAATTGTAAATCATTCTATTAGGTCGAGTCATAAGTAACTTGCGCTCTTTTATCAGACATTTATCAAACATATTATATTAAGTTAACAGGTATGCAATCTTTTTCCTATGCCCATTATTGATTGGCGGGAATTTTGCTTCAGTATTGCCTTTAAAAGATTGTCGTCAAAGTCGGAAGGATGTATCGTTTTTTAAGGCCGTATTTCCCGGCCGGAATTTTACAAACCAACTGCCAATTGCCCGATCAGTTATCAGTCCTTCATCGTCTACTCTGTATATTTTTTCAGTTGTCACCTTTAGCGTGCCTTTATTGCCTTGTTTAAATTCTCAAAGCCATGCATCTTGAATGTGCACTCTTTGACTCTCCATTTCAGAGGTTAAGGAAAGCTGTGCAGAATGTAACATGCACCACATTAAACAGTTGACAGAGGACTAACTGGATCTTCATATATGTAGTGAAAACAGAAACTAATTTGTTTCGGTGACTTAAAGTGCGTAAATGCGAACAATGCATTCTACCTAATTGCTCTGGAAGTTACTTATGACTCGACCTAATAGTTATTTCTGTCAATGTGACATTTAAAATAAAAGATAGCACTTAGGAGATTGTAATAATGATATATCTAGATGCGCACATTTGAAAAACCCTATGTTATGAGTTTATCCGTAAGGTTGTTTGTTAAACAACAATTTTCAGGAAGCTTTATAGCAACACTCTCGTGTTGTTAGTTTCAAAGAAGCTTAAAACAAAAAGAAACAGAAAGAAACAAAACTGAACATATTTTAAATCATTTTTCATTAAAATTTTTACATAATTTTTCCTCTTCTTTTTTTTGCTCGTATCGTATAATTTCAAACACGATTAATTAATTAGATAACAATATTAATATATTTTGCAGGTAAATGTAAGCAATACCTGGACGATGCCGCAAGAAGGTCTTAATGTATTTTATCGTTTCTTTCGCGATCGAATATCTTGGTTCGAAGCAGATGCTGTTTGCCAATTTCATCATGCCAATCTAGTAACAGGTAAACATAAAAATAGCACATTATACGAAACAATTGCGTCCTCTTGTAATCTAAAATGGTATCTCAGTTACCATTCAAAATGCATGTAAATGCAACAAATTTAAGCAACATATAGTCACAGATAATGGCATAAGGGAAAGGTAAAGGAGAAAATTTTCTTTTCTTTCTTTTGTTCGAGTGGCGGGTCCGGCGAGTGATGGTCGGCTTAAAAACCATGCGTTATCAGCAATAAAAACATAAATATACATCTACATATATCTACAAAAAAAACAAAAAAACATTTAATACTAATCAGATAAATATAGAAAGGTATATGAAATAAGCAAGAGTTTGATTATTTTTGGCTTTTAATATTTGTTGGTGTTTTTTATTTAAAGTTTAGTAAAAGGCATTGATTTTCTTTTTCATTAAAAATTGCAAAATTTATCATAATGAACTTTCAAAAGCAATGCTGAAAGCAATCCTGACTTTCAGGGAGCTCTATGATGAGAACCGACAGACGGATGAATGGCTAAATCGATTCCCTTGTTTATCTTAATCAAGAATATATACATAAAGATTATGACGTCTCTGATGAATATTTCAATGCATTAGAAAAAATTTGATAAACATAATATATTCCCTGTGGTAGGGATAATAACGCACACATCTGTTTTTTGTTTTTTTTTTTCAACAACGAAATGCTACACTGCGGGGTGGGTATAGAAGCAAAAGATGGAAGAGAGAAAGTTATATTGCACAAAATTTGTGTCTACAATGCAGGAAGAATGCAGAGAAGTACACAAGAGAACGACAGATTTGCAAAACAAATGAATTTATGTGAAAATAAAATGGTGGGCAAGAGAGAGAGAGAGAGAGAGAGAGAGAGAAGGAGAGGGAGGGAGAGAATTTAAGTGAAAATAGAGTAAATTTCCTAAAGCCAGGACAAACTTCCTTGTATGCCTTACTTTTAAAAAACAAAAGCAAAAATATTTTTGCTTACGAAAAACAATAAAAAGAAGAAAATTATGCATGTACGTCGCTGATAAAGCACACAAAAGCAGATATGTATACGTTACTACACCGATATGCTGGTCGTATACAGGTACGGAAAAGGGTATGCGGGGGGACGGAATATGTAAAAAAATCTGTCTGAAATGAAAAATGCGTTATATATTATATCTTGTGTGTGTGTGTGTGTGTGTGTGTGTGTGTGTGTGTGTGTGTGTGTGTGTGTGTGTGGGTGTGTGTGTGTTTGTGTGTGTGTGTGTGTGTGTGTGTGTGTGTGTGTGTGTGTGTGTGTGTGTGTGTGT